CCGAGGGAGAAGAAAGGATTTTCTGTCTTCAGGGCAAGTTAGGTGGCCTTTCTGGACGATATGGTTTGAGATTTGGAGCTCAGAGCAGAGGAACTGGGTGAAATATAATGTTCTGTGGTAAGCAGGCCATACTTTGGATGATCTAGTGGACATTTTTTTTTTTTACCATGTAATCATGTGAACTCAATTGCTTGTTGCCCATGCAGCAGTACTGTTAGTAGGGAGTAATTAATACTTCTCAAGGCTAACTTTATGGAAGATCCTTCATGGCTGACTACTGAAAGTGTCACCTTCTTTAAGGGGAGACTGTACCAGTTGATGAACAGTTTGATAAGGAGAAGGCCAACTTAGAAGCTTTTGCAGTGGACAAGGATATTGCCGTTATTAATGACAAACCAGCTACCACAATTGGAGTGACTGGCAATTTCACTGATGCTGAGAGAAGAAAATGTGAGGAAGAAATTGCCAAACTGTACAAACAACTGGATGACAAGGTATGCCATTCTCACTTAATGTAAGACCTCTTGGAAATATACCTTGAATTATATTATGTATGATTTAATTTGCTAGTCTTGTTTGTTAGTACAGCTTGCTTAAGTGTTTGTGGGGAGTGCCTACTCTAATTCTGAAGCTCTGATTAAGAGAAATCAAAATTGCCTTATCTGGTGCAAGTGAGTATCCTTTCTTAGTTGCTCTTCCTCCTTTCCTGACACTGCTGAAAAATGTCCTGTAAACTAAAGTATCAGCACATAGAAAATGAAAGATAAAAACGAAAGTTATGAAGAAAAAATTAATGAGGATCCTGAATGGTATTTCTGCTTTCTGGGTGTAGAACATTCCTAACTGATTGTTTGGAATAATACTGTACTAGAAAAAGAAACATAATGAGGAAGCAGGAAAATGACTGATATGAAGACAGCAGTGTTTTCCTTCCATATTATGCATATATTGTTTGAACATAACTTTAAATTTAAGCAGTGGTACTAAATTTGGAGAGGAAAAGATACTTCAAATAAATCTTAGTTGTTTCTTGGAGGTTAGAACAACTTGGAGAAGACTCACACAAGCACAGGTATAATAGTTTTGTCTTTGAAGTTTTACACATACATGCCAGGTTAAGAGTCTAATGGACCAGCCAGTGAAATCGAAAGGATTATTTTTTTTACTTTTGTTGCTTTCAGTTGTGTAACTGTCTCAGAATATGGGAAAGTTAGATGCCTAATGTCTACTGTCTCTTGGATTGTTTTTCCTGAGTGGTGTTTGTCAGTTTATTGAACACAGTCTTACTTAACTGCAGGATGAAGAGATTAATCAGCAGAGCCAACTTGTAGAAAAACTGAAAACACAAATGTTGGATCAGGAAGAGGTGAGTTTCTGTCTTGTGTCCTTAATATACTTTTGTTTGTCTTTCCTTTAAACAAATTGGACCTGTTCTGAATTGGTCAGTTTATGACCAGGGAGCGGAATGACAGCTTACTACTGTACAATAGTTTTCATTTATTCTTTATATAAATGCTCTGCCTACTCATTCAGCCCACCTACACTCTGCTAATGGCCAAACTTAAACCAGTTTACTTGAATCTTAAAAGTATCCATGAAGACTGAAGGAACTGAAATATTTTATGCAAAGAGATCATCAGTTGTTTTCCCCGTGCAAAGTTATCAATTTGTCAAAACTGAAGATACTGTGGTTTCCTGTAAGAACTGTGTTAAGGATTACTTTTGGCCAGTTACTGTACAGAGAGAAGTGGGAGGAGGGAAATGGAATGGCCCATAATGAAAAAGGAAGCATCTTTGTGTTACCTCAGACTGTACTTGCTGGAATATTCAAATGATTTGTATGCACCTGTTGCCATTGATGTGACTTAATTAAATGTGGGAAATGAAATTAACAATTTCATGATTATTAGGCATTTAGCCAAGATCGTTAGAAAAAAATTTATATAGTACAAAGATTTTTTTTTTAATCACTTTTGTGTATATGGCAAGAAAGAAATGAGTTAAGGAACTCAGGAAATTGGAGCTACTGTTTAATCTTATTTAAATAGATAAATCTGCCCCCTTAGCAACTGTTCACTTTGTCTAGTTATTCTTCAGCAGCTCATAGTGTTAAAATGCTGGCAGTTTAGTCCCTAGCCTGTTGACAGCTTCAGACTCATGAGTACTGTTTGGTAGCTTTTTTGAGAACTTGCATAATATTCCCTGTACATTTCCACTTGTGATTTGTAAATGCTTCCATTTTGAAAATACTTTAAAAGTTAGAGAACTATGGATATTGATTGTAAATTTAATTATTCATTATACTCTCACTGTACCTGTTCTTGGCATCCTTATTGCATGATGCTAGGCACTAAAAATGTAGATGTACGCTAAAAGCGTTCGTAAGGTTCAATTTACACATGGAAATTTCTTGATGATTGTTGGTTGTTGTAATTTTAAACAAACCTCTATCAATGTTGCAGCTTCTGGCGTCGACCAGGCGGGATCAAGACAACCTGCAAGCAGAGCTGAATCGCCTCCAGGCTGAAAATGATGCCTCTAAAGAGGAAGTGAAAGAGGTGCTACAAGCCCTTGAAGAATTAGCTGTCAATTATGATCAGAAGTCTCAAGAAGTGGAAGATAAGGCAAAGGAATACGAACTGCTTAGTGATGAACTTAATCAAAAATCGGTATGAAGTTGTGATAAGAAATTACTGACAGTCTTTACTGTAGCTTTTCTTGCCTTACCTGTATTTCTTGCTTGAAGTAATGTAAAGGTTTTTTGCAAGGGAAAATGGGAGCTTAAGTCTGAAACTTCTGTAGTTTTAGCAAAGCATGATTTTTCTAAAACGAGCAAGCTTCAGAAAAATGCACAGTGAATATTGACCGTGATAGTTTTCATCTTTTTGGTACCTATGGTATTTTACTACCTGAAGAGTATTCAGAACAATCCTAAATGTCAGAAGTTAACACTTTCTTTACATGCTGATGATCTGTCTCAGCTTTTGGCCTTTCTGGTGCAGCTGGTATAATGCTGTCAAGAATCTGCTCCTTCCAATTTTGAAATTGCAGTGAGCATGCTGCAGCTGTTCTTGAAAGGAATGTATAGTTGCATGCTGTATATATGGTATGTGAAATAAACTTCTCTTGATGCCTTCAGAAATAGGCAGTTTATTTTGCTTTCTGAAAGGAGTAGCCCTGAACACTGAGGACATACTACCCTGGTTAAAATACAGATGCAGCATCCGTCCCACGGGATGAATACCATGTACCTCCTCATGTACCTGCTTATTTTCTGAATTGACTGACAGTTTTGGTAGCCAGTTATTTGGCTATTATTTATTTGTTTGCAAATATTTATTTGCAAACAGTTTATTTATTTGCATCAGTTGTAAACAGTTAATACTCTACCCACTATCCTAAATTTCAAAGTGCTAGAAAGGATCGGCACATTTGCTGGCATTGCAGACAGAATATGTGGTGGTACAAGTCTGATTCTTCTCTGTTCTTGAATATGAAAATTGAGTGAGTCTGGGTCTTCTAATGAATGTGGCTTTCCATTTGCAGTTAGTAAGATTTGGCTGGATGGATCACTGCCATTAAAATTGATGTTCAAGAGAATATCAAACTTCTCTTTAAACTTCTAAGTATTCTGAGCTGTGTAATCTTTATTGATTACTTACATCACTTGAAGGTCACCTGGAAGTCAGATGATTTCTGGTCTTTGTATCACGAGCAGCATGAAATCTGATGCAATAGGCTATAGCTGTATGTGTGGTGAATGGGGTTGGGTTTTTTGGGGGTGGGAAGGGTTTACTTTCTTCTTGTTGATAGTCAAATGATTCTAGATATCATAACTAATACTCATTGAGTGTCATGAATAACTGAGTGCACAAGACAGTAACAGCTATTCTTAGATGTAGTAAAATCAAGACGTTTCAGTGTTCTCAGTCTGTCACAGCTAACCCATGCAATAAGCATCCTTTGGCATCACTGACTGAAACTTTCCTGCTGTAAAACTTCTGGCATTTTTTTAAAACTGGAGAACTAAGAGCAGACAGCTGTTGAGTATGCTGAGCGGCAGCCGTTGCAACCACAGCAGCTCAGACTAGCTGAAAAGCTGCTCTAGAGCAGGTATAGTGGTAATGAATTCATGGAACTGGGTGCTGTTTTTTGATTTGCAAGTTGGAAAGCATTAAGAGCTCTGCAGGCTGAAATTATTTTCCTTTACCAAAATAGGGTGTAAGGTGTTGGACTTGCTGTCCATGCACCTTTTTCCTATAAATGCAAATCTCTGTAATATTTAACCGCGTATAACTGAATGCGGTTTAACAATGTTGATGTGAACTTTGTTGCAGAGTTGTAAGATTGTATTTTGTGAGCTGAAGGCCTCTGTTCCCAGTATTTTATTTCTTTCAGAAGAAATACATACACTCTAGGACTTTTAAATTTTTACTGTGTGATATATTCCCATAGGTTGATACCAGTTTGATTTTGGACATAAAAATAGGACGTTTCAGTAGGCAACCACAGGTTGTTGTATTTAAATAAATAGTGTGAAACTAGTTCTAAAAGCAAAAACGTTCTGTTTATTAAAGCATAACTTCTTTTGCCATAGGTCACTCTAGCCAGTATAGATGCAGAACTTCAGAAACTTAAAGAAATGACCAACCATCAGAAGAAACGAGCAACAGAAATGATGGCCTCCTTACTAAAAGATCTTGCGGAGATAGGAATTGCAGTAGGAAACAATGATGTCAAGGTAAGGATTTGGCAGAGCATGTATTACACACATACATTTTGGATAAGTGGGATCAGTTTTCTTGGTATGGTAAAACTAACCACCCTAGGAAGCCTCATGTATATTCATAATTTGGGCATAAGCTTATCCATTGCTTATACTGTGACTTAATCAGGTCCCAAACAGAATTTGATTATGCGAAGACAAGGAAGAGCAGGTATGACTTTTCCTGAGGTGCTGTTTTCCTCCTGTTAAACGGCTATATGAAATCGTCACAATCAACAGCATCATCTTGGAAATCTAGGGCTGACCTGCAGTGGCAACCAGGATGATACTTATGTTAAAAATGGAATGAGGAACTGAAAAAAATGATAAATCTAGAAGATCACTTTAGGGTAAGAATGTAAGCAGTGTTAGAAATCTACACTGTACTCTGTTTCCCTCTTCGAGGGACTCCTGAACTTTGTGCAAACTTCTCAATTATCAATCAGAATACTTTAAACACCAAAATTTAACTATTTTTTTAAATGCTTTGATTATCAGTTGAGGCGGGGGATGTGTGCTGGGCACTAGGTTGCTCCAGCTCACCTTTAATTCTCTTTTGTGATCTGAGCTTTCTAAACATGTCATTCCACACTTCTCAGCAGCCTGAGGGAAGTGGCATGATAGATGAAGAATTCACAGTTGCGAGACTGTACATTAGTAAAATGAAATCGGAAGTCAAAACAATGGTAAAACGTTGCAAACAGTTAGAAGGCACACAAGCTGAGAGCAATAAGAAGATGGAAGAAAACGAAAAGGAGTTGGCTGCCTGCCAGCTCCGTATCTCACAGGTAAATATCCCTTTACAGTGTACTTCCTGAATGTTCTTCTGAATTCATTAACTTGCTGGGGGAAAAAAGGTTGGGTTTTTTTTTGACCCCCAGCAAAGCACATTGTGATTGAACAGGCACAAGGCTCACCTGGGTCCTCAACATTCTCTTTGGTTTGGATGCTTCCGAGTAATTGTGCGACAGGATGTCAGAATTTCCACGATGTGTCTTGCAGCCTGATAATGCTTTTGTCGCGCTTGTATTAAAAACCAGGGTCCGTGTGTTCTCCATCACAGGACTCTTCACAAATGCAAGGCTTAGAGAAGCAGTGGCTAGTGAGCACTCTGCCAACTAACGCAGCAGGTTGGAGATGGGAGAGGTAGCACAGTGAAATTACAGCAGGCTTGCGCAGCGGGTTAAAAGTTACTTCGGATGCGAGAAAGGCCATGTTAATGTGGTTATTAGGAAAGATTAGTAATGTAACTTCGCTTCTCAGAATTGTCATCTACTTACGCAATTTTTCTATGTTTTATTTTACATACGGATGGTCGTTTTTCTTAAATTGGGAGATGCATATTTCAGTGCAGTCTCCTAAATATAGTGGGCCTCTTTTGCGTCTGATAGTATTTAACAGTCGAAGCATTTCTTCTCCCAGCTGAAAATGTATTTCATTCCAATCCAGAATAAAAGACATTCTCTTACAAGCTACATTACAGATCTGCTTGAGTAGTCATATTCTTCTTAGAGTTTAGTTGGCACCATTGTTATTTTGAGATCAGGTTACTTGTTTAAAATAAGTATAAACTGTTTATGCAGATGTAGTTGCATGATACATAGTTCCAAATTAAATGAATCTTTCCATTCTAAAAGCATGAAGCCAAGATCAAGTCATTGACTGAATATCTTCAGAATGTGGAACAGAAGAAGAGGCAATTGGAAGAATCTGTGGATTCCCTTAATGAAGAACTAGTTCAACTCCGAGCACAGGGTAGGAATTGCCACCCCACACCCCACCTACCCCCATCAACGTTTTAAGTATATAGTGATAAATAGGGAATTGTTTGTTCTATTTAGATTGAAGGGCAGAGCTATGGAATGGCTTTTTGCTACTGAACATGTAACGTTAATCAATGGGAAAGCAAGTTTGCTGTTTTAAAGAACTCCTAAGGTTGGAAAAGACCTATCAGATCATTCAGTCCAACCATCAACCCAACACTACCACACGCGCTAGACCATGTCCTCAAGCACCATGTCTACATGTTCCTTGAACACCTCCAGGGCTGGTGACTCCACCACTTCCCTGGGCAGCCTGTTCCAATGTGTGACCACTCTGTCAGTGAAGAATTTTTTCCTGATATCTAATCTAAACTTCCCCTGATGCAACTTGAGGCCATTTCCTCTTGTCCTGTCACTAGTTACCTGGGAGAACAGACCAGCACCTGCCTCCCTACAACCTCCTTGCAGGTAGCTGTCGAGAGCGATCAGATCTCCCCTCAGCCTCCTCTTCTTTAGGCTGAACACCCCCAGCTGCTTCAGCCACTCCTCACAAGACTTGTGCTTCAGAACCTTCACCAGTTTTGTTGCCCTTCTCTGGGCACGCTCCAGCACCTCTATGCCCTTCTTGTAGTAAGGGGACCAAAACTGAACACAGTACCTGAGGTGCGGCCTCACCAGTGCCAAGTACAGGAGCACAATCACTTCCCTACTCCTGCTGACCACACTATTCCTGATATGGGCCCAGATGCCACTGGCCTTCTTGGCCACCTGGGCACACTGCTGACTCATATTCAGCTGACCATCAACTGACACCCCCAGGTTCTTTTCTGCCTGACAGCTTTCAAGCAGCTCTTTTCCAAGCCTGTAGCGCTGCCTGGGGTTGTTGTGACCTAAATGCAGGACCTGACACTTGGCCTTGTTAAACCTCATACAGCTGACCTCAGCCTATCGATCCATCCTGTCCAGATCCCTCTGCAGGGCTCTCCTACCCTCCGGCAGATCAACGCTTCCACCCAACTTAGTGTCATCTGCAAACTTACGGAGGGAGCACTCAATCCCCTCATCCAGAACACTGATAAATGTTAAACAAGGCTGGCCCCAAAACTGAGCCCTGAGGGACACCACTTGTGACCAGCTGCCAACCAGACTTCACTCCGTTTACCACAACCCTCTGTGCTCTGCCCTCTAGCCAGTTTTTAACTCGGTAAAGAGTACATCTGTCCAAGATGTACTGCTATGGATAAGGTTAAATTAAAGGTGTTACTGATTAAATTGATCTTTGTGGTGGGAGGGGAGTTCTTCCAAATTTTAAGGTGTTGGAAAGGAAGGGGAAATTAAGTCCGTATTCCCTGTGATCACCTGATTACCTGGCTGAAATGTGTTTTCTTTCCTCTCTCCCTACTAGAAAAAGTCCATGAGATGGAGAAAGAGCACTTAAATAAGGTTCAAACAGCAAATGAAGTCAAGGTAAGTTAGTTTAATTGGATTAAAAAAAAAAGTGAATTATGGCAATTCTTAAAGCACCTAATACCTACTGTTTTTTCTAATAGCAAGCTGTGGAACAGCAGATTCAGAGCCACCGTGAGACGCATCAGAAACAAATCAGTAGCCTAAGAGATGAAGTTGATGCAAAAGAGAAACTTATCACTGAACTTCAAGAGTAAGTAACTGTCATTATTTTAGTAGTGCCAAATGCCTCTGGACTGTGTGAGTACAGAAGCACGGTATGGTGGGAAGGAAGTGACCAGAGTTTCCTCCAGCAGTGCCTTTCTAATTTGTGTTGCTCTGCTGAATGTGGTGTCTGACAGGTTCTGTTGATACAATATTTGCTTTTTCTGTTCAGCCAAAACCAGAAGATGATGCTTGAACAGGAGCGTCTTAGAGTTGAGCATGAGAAGTTGAAAGCCACTGATCAGGAAAAAAGTAGAAAGCTGCATGAACTTACGTAAGTGATAACGGTGCATAAACCAGATGTGTGTTTGCACACTTACATTTTAAAAATTAATGACCTAATATGATGAAGTGGCTCTCGGTGTATGATATGCCTACTGAAATGAGAGGCTCCAGAGCCACCCTGAACTTTTTTAAAACCTTTGCCTTGCTGCTTAAATTTGGAAGGTAAATAATGGAAGATATGAAGGCCACAACTTTTTTTTTTTGTTAATATGCTGTGGGTTGGACTAATTAACATTTTAATTTGCAGCTATGTGTTGCTTGCTCTGAGACTGGAAGAGGCTTAGATTAACCATTTCACAACAGGTTTCCTTGTCTTGCAAGATTTGATTACATACCACATTATTGCTTCTTATTTCAGTTTGCAGGCTAAACTGTTTATAGCATTGATTCCTTTAAGACCTTGAACCGGAAAGTTTCTAGTTATTAAAAGACTTGCACAGAAACATTAAAAATTGGTTTGCTATTTTCTGTCCTCCCCTGGCCTTTTTTGAATCCTTTTATTTTTCCATTGTATGACAGGCCAGAAACAATGCAGAATAGTCACTTCTGTTTTTTACCTTAGAGTTGTATAAGATGCCTGGAACTACTTTTCCCATGAGGTGTTTTCGCTACAGTGATGTTATAGTAAAACTTGGTGTTTCTGAGATCATAAAATTCAGTTTAGAACTCAATTAAGAATTGATCTTTATGTGGTTTATTTTTTCTGGCTTGATCGTAATATGAGGGTTCAGATTTGTACTCAGCCTCCTCTCTCCCTACCCATTTTCCTACCTGGAAAATTGATAGGATGCTGAATCATCTTTAGAATATTTTATTACTTCCAAGGTTTAATCATTTAGCTGTGAACTAGTAGTGGAACTGGCCGAGTGAGGAGAAATTGCAAGAGGAAAAGAAACTTTTTTGCTACCTAATAGGAACACTTCATTTCCATGCAGACCCTGGCTTTCCTATTCCAACCTCAAGTCATAACAAGAAAAGTCCACGTTCCTTTCATTTTTAGTAATTGCGCTGCCTTGTAATTCTGAGAGAGAACACTAGCAGTGCAGTAAAAGCTTTCACCTTGAATAGGAAGGCAGCAGCTCTGTAAAGTGATAATCACTACGTTAGGCTGCTGTAAACGGAGACTGTTCTTTATTATGCCAGCTCTGGCAAGTGAGTTAGGGGTGAGGTGGTAAGCCAGAACAAAGAAAAGTCTGTCACGTTATCTGTCATCTCGCCTGGTCAGAGCCAAGAACGCTTGTAGGATAAGATCTCCCGAAGTATTCATCCTGGACCTGACTGAGTCTTGCTTTATTCTAGAAACTTACCATTTATTCATCTGAATGTACTTGTTTGCATTCCTTCAGCATTAAAAGTACTTCCCTCTTTTCCTCCTGCACCTCCCCCACTCCCTCCCCACCCCATATGCATTTCTGAGCGTGGTGTCATCTGTCAGTTACATCCTTAATTGAGGGCTTCAACTGAAAGACACGTTTCATTTGTACCACCTAGTGTTTGTTACTCTAGTCTCCTAAAACATTAAAAAAGTTCTATTTTGCTCAGATGTTTCAGGATAAATTTATTTTCTTTCAGGGTTATGCAGGACAGACGGGAACAAGCGAGACAGGATTTAAAGGGTTTGGAAGAGACTGTGGTAAGATAATCAGAATATATTCCAAAGAAAATGTCAATACTTGCTCTTTTGTTTACCCACCTTCTGAGTTATTTTTTAATTTTATTATTTTTAATTTCTTGTCCTTAACTGTAGGCAAAAGAACTTCAGACTCTTCACAACCTTCGTAAGCTGTTTGTTCAAGATCTGGCTACTAGAGTGAAAAAGGTAACATGGTGCTAGGCAAACTTAGTGTTTCTGGGATCATAGATTTGTTTACAATTGAATTAGGAATTGATCTTCATGCAGTGTATCTTTTCTGGCTTGAAGTTCAGGTTTGTACTCAGCCTCCTCTCCCCCTCCCCATGCCTTTGTTACTGCAGAGTGCAGAGATTGACTCAGATGACACAGGAGGCAGTGCTGCACAAAAACAGAAGATATCCTTCCTTGAGAATAATCTTGAGCAGCTCACAAAGGTTCACAAACAGGTACAATAGGCTTAGTTTTAAGTTTTGATTATAAACAAACTACCTGAGATGCATTGTTACAGAAGTGACTGAATGCGTATTGGTGATAAAGTGGTTGGTTTATAATGAAGTACTACATCTTGAGAGTGTATGAAACAGTTGTCTTAAAATGCTGAGAGCTCCAAGTCTGTTTAGCCTGGAGAAAAGCAGAGGGTGTGTGTGTATGTGTCTTATCAATGCTTATAAGTATAAAGGGTGGGTGTCAAGAGGTTGGGGCCAGACTCTTTTCAGTGGTGCCCAGTGACAAGACAGGGGGCAGCGGGCACAAACTGGAACACAGGAAATTCCGTCTCAACATGAGGAAAAACCTCTTTGCTTTGAGGGTCGCAGAGCACTGGAACAGGCTGCCCAGGGAGGTTGTGGAGTCTCCTTCCCTGGAGATATTCAAAACCCAACTGGATGCATTCCTGTGCAACCTGCTCTGGGTGAACCTGCTCTGGTGGGGGAGGAGGGTTGGACTACATGATCTCTGAAGGTCCCTTCCAACCCCTAATATTCTGTGATTCTGTAATAGACTAAAGCTTTCCTGGCAAGTAAACCGGTAGCTGTTTTAAGTACATGTGGCTGTATAATAAAATAGCCGCATTTAAACTGAAGAAAACCCAGATGAGTGTTCAGTTAGTATGTCAGTCTAGGGGATGCTTGCCTGTCTCTGGAGAAGAATGTAGGCTTTAAGTGCCTGTGTTGGGTAGCATGCTCTTCCACAGTAACTGGTTTTCAAATGAGAATCTTACTGATGAACTATTAGACTTACTAAAAGCTTAAGTGAGATAATATAGTAGCCCTACTGCTTTGCCTGTTTAGGGGCAGGAGGGTGTGTGTTTGGCTGTCACTGTGAAGAGAGATAGCAAGAAAATAATCAATTCTGGTTTTGTAGCTGGTACGTGATAATGCAGATCTTCGCTGTGAACTTCCTAAACTGGAGAAGCGACTTAGAGCTACAGCTGAAAGGGTTAAAGCTTTGGAGTCTGCACTGAAGGAAGCCAAAGAGAATGCTTCTCGTGATCGCAAACGTTATCAGCAAGAAGTAGATCGTATAAAGGAAGCTGTAAGATCCAAGAATATGGCCAGAAGAGGACACTCAGCGCAAATTGGTTAGTAAAGAATCCCTTGCCCCCTAAAGCTTCATCTGTCACCTGATTTTTCTGATCTTTGTGCATGTGTGTGCATCTTTCAACCCTTGTTGGAACTGCATGTGTGAATACAGTGTTATTTTCTACTAGGAGTTGTGTTTTGGCTGATGGACTGTCAGGGTGATGGTGTATGGTTGTTTGGGGTTTTGAATTTATTTTAAATAGGTCTCTTTCTGGTAGTTGGGTCTTTGTACATGCTGGGGAAGGCTTACCAACCTGGAATTCTATCCTGAATATGTGTTCTAGTTCCTAGAACAAAACAATGCTCTGAATGTGAGTCTTAAGCCTGTGTCATCATTCCAATTCCATTCCAGTTTTTAAGACTAAGCAAGTATTCCAAAGCAGGGAGAGAGATTAAGCCTCACGTTAAACAGCAAAGTTGCCTTGCAAAGTTGTACCTTGATCCTGTAGGGGAGAGGGGCACACAGAAACCCACAACTATAACATCGTAAGATCCCTGATTACCTTTTTGGTTCTTTGTTCCAAGACACGTAGTACTCCCTAGCCCTCCCTAGCGGAAAATAAAGGAAAAAACAGAAATCTGTAGTAGCTCAAGTATGTTACTGTGTGCTGGGAAGGCCGTCATTCCCTTGCTTCTCCACCTGGGACAGTGCTGTAGAGTGCTCAGGGCCAAGAGGGCGTGAGACCTGTGGAGGACTTAACTGTGCCGATTACGTTATTGCTGTTGAAGGAACTGTGTTCCAGCCTTTCTGTTGCCCTGTGTCAGGCCTTGAGTAACCAATACACCTAATGCTCACTTCAGTTGCGTTAGCAGTTGCAGTTTAACTTCACTCGTATTCTGTAGGTCTGCAAAGAGCTGTCGCAGCATAAAGTTACCGTGTTTTTTTCTTTTCTTGGTTGCTTCAAGTGGTGGCTTGAAAAATGGGTGTTTTCCTGTCTTAACTTTCTCTCAAGTGATCTCCAGGAAGACAGACAGAATTCTCTAGTGAGCTCGCCACAAGTATAAAGCCTTTTGTGCTTAAATGTCTAGTTGAACTGGGCATCTCTTACTGGAGACCAGCTTCCTATAAGGCAGAAATCGAAGTTTCTCTGATGTAGTTGCTACCCGTAGGTACTTCATAGCCACTCTTACCTGCTGAAACTTTAAATGCTTCTGTTGAATATTTGAGCTTTGTACAACATACTGTTGTACAACATACTGTTGTGTATGTCCTGTTAAAAGCTAGTGCAAAACTGATGGACAGTTTGATTGTTATCAGAATGTGTGCAGCTTGTGAACTGCCTGTCAAAACTACTGGTTTGACTCCAGTAACAGAGCAAGTTTTATTTTTATAGGATGGTAAGAAGTTGATGAAGCAGGGGAGTAACTGGTATGCAGAACTACTTGCAGAGCAGAGTTAACTAGTGGCTTTTCAGTTAAGTAGATGTGAGAAATACATCAGAGCATAGTGGTTCCTTACAGGAACATAACCTTCATGAAACTTTGTCTAGTGAGGTCTTATTTGAGTTCTTATTGCCAAAAAGTAGGACTCTCCCAGGGAAATAGCAAATAATATATGTGAGGATAACCATTATCAAAAACTCTGCTAGCCTTAATTCTGATGGGGACAATAAAAGCAAAGCCTTGACTATTTTTCAGGGCTTGTTGTAGCTGATACACTAATCTGTTAGGGTCTCAGGATACCATCTCCTAAACCTGTTTTCTTATCCAAAGTGCATTCAATTTTGATTATTACATTTGGGATTCTATAAAATACAGCACTAGTAAAAATGACTAATCAAAGGTAAACTTATGATGTTTATATTTAAGTCATGTTTCTTCTCCATGCAGCTAAGCCTATCCGTCCTGGTCAGCATCCAGCAGCTTCTCCAACTCATCCAAGTGCAATTCGTGGTGGAGGTGCGTTCACTCAGAACAGCCAGCCGGTTGCACTGCGGGGAGGTGGAGGACGGCAAGACAAAGTGTAAGTTTGTCTTGTAGGATTTTTAAAAGTGTGATTAAACCACTTTGTGTTAGTTTTCATGCCACAGAATGAACTGTAATGAATCACTTGAATAATCAGATTAGTTACTTTTTACAGAATTTTATAGTTGGAGGAACAGCATACATGTAAGATGTGTGTATATATATGTAGAAAAGACTAATGCTGCTGCTGCTTTTGTTATAAAACTAGTGTTTGTTGTAAAATAGTAGTTCTGGTGTTGATCTGCTGGAGTAGGACAAAATGTGAAAACAGTCAATTGAAGATAGTTACCACTCTCAGCCAATAGATGCTCTTTGGGAAAGGATTAGATAGTTTTCATTCTTTTGGCCTGCTAGTATCTTCTTAAATATGGTTTTCTTCAGAAAACATTCAGCAATGGGAAAAAAAATAAAAAATATGGCCCTATTCTTATAAGTAGTTTTATTCGCTGTTCTTACTACCTACAATTGCACACTACTTCCTGTGTAAGCAATCTAGGATTATTTAACCGAAAAATTCCCATCTTCATCCGGTAAATGTAAAATGTTAGCCTAGTTAAAATACCGTAATTGAAATTAATATGTGCACTTACTTGAAAATGTCTCTAATCTCCTAAGTAATTATACATAGCATATTAAGTACCAGACCGAAGCTGCTCACAGAATCGTGTCTCTCGTTAATTAGCGCCTGCATTATAGTTGGTCTGTTGGTCACCTAACAGTAACGCCTTGCTGCATTCCGTCATCTTCACTTTGGAGTGGTTGTAGAAATGCCTTCTAGGCATTGCCTTAGTTAAGGCTATCTGCATATTCAGCTGGAAAGGAAAATGATGGTGTGGTGCTTGAATCCTGGGTGCTTCTCTTTTGAAGGGCTCCAGGGCAGCCTATGTTAATCTTGTTCCCATTTGTTTCCTTTCGTTAGCCAACTGACTTCTCAGAGTTTTTCTCCAATGTAGTCAGCCTATACTACTACTACTAGTACTAGTACTAGTAGTACTAGTACTACTAGTCAGGGTGCCTGGTTGTGTTCAGTAGTGTCTCAGTGAGTAAGAGGTTGAAGCAATATGTTCTTTAACCTCAAGTAACAGTATCCTTGAATCACCAAGGAGCTGGCAATTCATGGATTCTTGATCATGTTGATACAGTGAAATTAATCTTCTGATAGATTGCCTTTGTAGTCCAAGTAGCTATCTCAGCTGTCCAACGTAGAGACGTTTGAAGGTATGATTGCCCCAATTTATTTTAGATGCCTACTTGAGCATGAGTTTGCACCTGCTCTGGTGTTACCTAGAAATCCAACTGAAGAGACCCTATTTAGTCTCACACTTATTTAAGAGTACTTACAATAGCTGCTGACATCAGAGAAAAAACTGTATTTTGAGCTTGCATCTTGCTTTGGAGAAGAGTTTCACTCTTGGCCCTGGGGAATTTAAATAGGAGATGCAGCACTTTGCCTTTTGGACTATTTGTAGATAAATCCTGAAGGAGTGGAAAACAGATTAAGCATTGGCTCAAACCCCTTCTGTACAAACCAACCAAAACACTTCCATGTAACATGCTTACAGAATCCCTTAAGCAGCTGTAAAGCTTTTGTGTAGTTCTTGTGATGTTGGCATGTTACCGCTGTGGAACCACGCAGAGATGAGCGTTTCGCTACGATTGCTCTCATGCCTTGTATTCCAACTCGCCTGTCTTGTTTTTTGGGAGAACCTGTCCCTTACGGAATAACAGAACAAAACTTTCTTGAACTTTATTTTACTTAAGTAACATAAATTCATTCTGAGCTTGTGAATATTCAGGTAGCCAGTATAATTTTTCTCTGTAGCAATGTCTGTTATCCTTGTTTTGAGGGTTAATACAGATACTAAGTACCCAAACTTCTGGTTAGAGATGTTTTGGAACAATAGGAACTTGATGTACTGTTTTACATTTGGAGACCACCATTTAACAAATTATTGGGGAAATGTTTGAGAAACATTTCCAAAAACATAAATAAATGTCCCAGAAGGCCAACCGTATCCTGGGCTGTATCAGGAGAAGTGTGGCCAGCAGGCCGAGGGAGGGGATTCTCCTCCTCTACTCTGCTCTGAGCCCCCACCTGGAATACTGCATCCAGCTGTGGAGCCCTCAACATAAGAAGGGTACAGTCTGGTTGGAGCGAGTCCAGAGGAGGCCACGAAGATGCTCAGAGGGCTGGAGCCCCTCTGCTATGGGGACAGGCTGAGAGAGGTGGGCTTGTTCAGCCTGGAGAAGAGAAGGCTCCGGGGAGACCTTATAGCACCTTCCAGTACCTGAAGAGGCTACAAGGAAGCTGGGGGGGGGTTTTTACAAGGGCCTGTAGTGATAGGACAAGGGGTAATGGGTTTAAATTGAAAGTGGGGAGGTTTAGATTGGATATCAGGAAGAAGTTCTTCCCAGAGAGGGTGGTGAGGCACTGGAACAGGTTGCCCAGAGCAGCTGTGGATGCCCCATCCCTGGCTGTCTTCAAGGCCAGGCTGGATGAGATTTGGAGCAACCTGGTCTAGTGGATCTTTAAGGTCTCTTCCAACCCAAATAATTCTATGAAATACAGAGATGCTAATTTGTTATTTCCCTATGCAAATCAAACTTCTTGGGTTTTTTGAATGATTAATGCCAAATGGTCTCTGTTCCTATTTCATCATCCCAAAATAACAAAGTCAAAACTTTGCAGCAGCTAGTAGGTGGTATCCAGACAGTTCTCACTGGCCTGGCAAAGTAGCAACAGTGGTGGGAAGTGGAGCTGGGTTGTAACTGGTTTGTGTTTGTAATGTTTACTCCGTGAAGGCAGTGGAGACTGGATACCCAGTCGGTTTATTGTGCCGTAAATTCGTTGGTGACAGACAGCATTGCTTAAATGCTTTGTGCAGTGTAATTTCTTGTTCTCAAGCAGATATGTTACTAGCGCTTACCTGAGTGGTCTAAGAATTGGGTCCATAGGGGCTGTGTAAATAGCGAATGCAGTCTGCTGTAAAAGTAAATAACTTGGCTTTTTTGGCTTATGTGGTACTAGCACTTACTATTATTTTTCTCATTTACAGTTGCTGAAAAGTAAATGCAGCATGAGGAGGATTGGATATCATGTAGAGGGAGTCATTCCATGACAATAATTTCTCCCTTTGGGGACTGTAGGATTATTTTTTGAAAATGTATAAATTATACCTGGCCTGTACAGCTCTTCACCCTTCAACAAATTCTGCTAACTGATTCCCAAAAAAAAAAAACCAAACTAGAGTGCAATTTTGGCGTCTTGAAAAATGACATGTTAATTAAAGTGTAGCTCTGCTCATGACACAGTTTGTCTTTCATGTCTTAAATTTAGTCTGCACTGTGCCAAGCTGAATGTACGTTGAGAAAAATCTTAGTTCAGATTTTTAGCCTAATTTGTGTACATCTTACCGTCTTAGGGAACGTGCAACAGTGTCCAAGTATACTTTCATTTTGATCACTTCACATAACACTACGTGTCCCACTGAATTAGAATGGCACTCTACGGTTTTCTTCTGGAATGCTACTTAGAGCATTGGAACCTTGAACCACTTTTTTCTATATCTACCGTAGCCTGAATTTTTAATAGTTTGATTTTTTTAAAGGTTGAGTGTATCAGTCAGAAATCTCACTACTTTGGAGTTTTCAGCTTTTAAGACTGTTTTGTTCATTAAGGCTGCCAAACACCCCAAACTTGCAGTTGTTTTAGGGCACGATTGAAGACTGCACACTGAGGAAAGAAAAATAAAGGAGCAGCAAACTGTTTTGAATGAAATGTCTTGTAACGGAAGCAACCTGTCCCTTATCTTCCTCAGTGTTAACTACAGGTTTTCAGACCTTCAATTGTTAACATGCAATCATAAAAGCAAAAAAAACTACTTTCTTTAAAATATATTCAAATAAAGCAGGATTTGTTTTTTTCCTCATGCCTGTGAAATGGGGGTTTCATTCCTGTAGGTAATTATCACGGGTTTTGGTGCTGCAAATTGCTGTGTTTAAAAAAAAAAAAGGTAACTAGCCTGTAGCTCAGTGTACATCACCTTTTTATATTTAAACTTTTTTTTATTTTAAACCTTTTTTGAAGTTTACCAAGAACTGCCTCTTAAAATGTAAAAAACTTAAAAAATACATTTTTGTTTTCTGATTTGGCTGTCAATTGTCAGCCAGACAGGACAATTACTGTTTTTTGTAAATTAAAATATTCAGTATATATGGGGAATGTTCAACACTGCTGTTTCAACTTGCAGTCTTTGAATGGTTCTTATTTTTATGTTCCTCTAGATCATGTTTTTTAAAAGGTGGTTTAGGATAGGAACTTGGTGAAATAATATTTATTTCTGGTGAACAACTAAATTATTTACATAACTTAAATGCTGACTCACTACTGTGTGTAACTCTAAATTTGACATGAGAGGACAAGTCTACCTGTGGAATACGATTTAACTTCAGTACACTCAAGATGCATTAAAACAATTGGTTTGGGGAAGACGCCATATAGTTTTAACCTACCTGCATGCTGTAAATGTATTTGTGTTTAAATAAAGAGAAGAAAAATCTTTCAACTTTTGGTGTGTTTATTCAGACTCTACACCTGTTGGTTAAGGTGGCTCCATCTCACAGTTTTCACTTGGTAAGTTTCATGTCCAGTTATCTCTGGAAACTGTGATCGTGGTGTGTCTCTAACCTCTTATTCCAGGGTTTGTTAATCCAAGTAAGCTTCCCCACACACAAGTAGGAGTGTTTAAGTCTTAGTAGAAAAAACACTCAAACAAGAAAACCCCAAACCAAAGCGCAGAAAACCCCAACTGCTGATGCCTGTGGAAATGCCCAGAAATCGATTACAGCCGTAGGATATCTGAATGTTAACCCCTTCAATCTGGGATGACTGACCTCTCCCAAAGGTTTGTAAATATGCCCACTTAATGGCCATTTTTAATGGCTTCTCTTGGTTGGGTACCTTTTGGACTGGCTTGGAGTTTTTTTAACACCAACTTTCACCCTGTCGGATACAGCACGTGACACACTTGAAAGAACTCTCCTGGGGCATAGAGCGTAGCTGTGGACATCCTTTCTCTTAAAGGAGTGATTTCCTCTTGTGCCCAGAGCAGCTGATTTGTTTCCAGCACACTCATCTTTGCCTTAGTACTCAGCTGCTTTTCACCTACAGACCTGAAAAACCAACCGCCAGACCCTCACGGGCGAGCCCACCCCTTCTCTCCTTAAGCTGCGTCTTCGTGTAGGTATTTCGTAGCTGTGACTGGGAGTTAGATGTGTTAGTGTATCGCTACACCCTATTCATCATTCTTTTTTTAATGCTTGCATTCTAGAGTAAACTGAAGCCAGGTTTGAGACAACTCTGCTTTCTTCTTTCCAGGAGCAGAAGGGAGTTTTAAGAACTAGAAGAGGTTGCCTTAATGCAGGCCTACTGCCAACCAAGGAACCACAGATGCGCTTCCATTCCGCTTGTTCTTTAAACTGAAACAGTGTAGAAGCTGATCAAGGTTTTGCGCACGTGACGTGCATTTGATTTAGTTCCTGTGCAACTCAGAGTCCAGTTTTAAAGGCTGTTTAAGATGACTGCGTCTTATCCGCCTTGGGATGCATGGAGCGATGGGTGCCTGCATGCAGTGGTTCTACCTGCAAGGTTACAAATCCCAAAAACTGCCAGTTCATCTGTAGCACCTGATGCCAACTCTACTTTCAGCTTGAGGTGTAGCTGCTTGTGCTTCATGTGTTCCTGGTTAGCCAGTGAAGGAGGGAGGTGAAATGGAGGCTTTGGTCCTGCCAGTCTGACAGAGCAAATGGTTTGGCTCAGACCAAGACCTCCTCTAGCTAAATCTGTCTCCAGAGGTGCCAGATCTATGGGTTGTGCAGGAAATCAGTCAAATGAGATGGTTCCTCTCAGTAGTTTTCTCTAGGTGAGTCACCTCCGGGGCTTTCCTGAGCGTGGCGTGTTGTCTGTACGGTGATGCTCAACACTCCTTTTATCCACGTGCTTGGACTGTCTTCTTTGGAATCCATGGAAAATTGTCTTGGTTTGCTTTGTGAATCTCTCATTTTTTAACCTTGGCGTCTGCTAATTTGGTGACCCCTTGTTCTTGTTTCAGAGAGTTTAATCCCTTTCCAGCATTTCTGTGCCACACGGGCTTCTGTAGACCTCTACTCTTTCTCCCTTTTTCTCAAGGCTCCTTTTCCTTTGCCAGTGAACTGTAACGGTTGATTCTGCTTTTTCTGAGTGCGGTTGAATTGATGGGTTTATGGAGCGGTCTGGTTATGTGAGGCTGCAGTCACTTGCTGGAGAACTATCAGAAAAAAGATGTAGCTAAATCTATAGAGCTTTTATAGATAAACATATATATAAGCACATAAAGGAGGTCTAGATCTAAGTCTGCCAGTACAGCTATGTAAGGGACAAAATCTTAGGAGGAAGAAATTGCGTTTGTAAAACTGCTCAGTAAGCTGGTAGTCTTAAATATCTCATGGAGTATCCTATCACCAGGAGATGGCTCGGTCTCACTGGCAAGGTGCGCATGTTTGAATAGGTCTGTCTCTGCTAGGGAATGACCAGCTCAAACCCTTTTAATTGCAGACAGGGGCTAAGGGATGCTCGCAAAGGAAAGTAAACCTCCTTTTACTCTGAAGTTTATGAGCAATGGCATGACCTGAAATTAAGAAAAAAATGTTACTGCATCTCTGAGAAGGAATCTGCACGATAACCTATGAAGTGCTAAAGAATTCATTCACAGAACAGATTTGACTGGCTTGGGGTGGCTTCCCTTTTCAACAGACCACGAAGTTGTAACACCGGTTTAGGAAGCGTCAAAATGCGACGCTGTATTTCACGTGCGCTGTGTGCCAAACTGTCGCTTAAGGGCGTAATGCAGCCCGGCTAAACGGCACCAAAAACACGCCTGGAAGGTGATTACTGGCAACTGATGGGTACAGCAGAATTTTTGCCTGTGGAGGTGGGAGCTGATGAATCATCCTGAGCTGCCTATGGGGCTGTTCGTCACTTTATCTTCAGGCAGTGCTTGCTGAGGGCAATGACAAGTGAAGTGGGACTAGGCAGGGAGAGTAGTGTTTTGTCATGACAGGCGATAGTGCAGAGGTTATCTATCGGTCAGCTAGGCTGTCCAGTGTGATGGGGAGAGGAAGAATCACCTGAAGAAGACTATAATGCAAAAGAAAAGACAAAGGAGGTGTCTGGAGCGTGTTCAGAGAAGGGCTACAAAACTGGTGAAGGGTCTGGAGAATATGTCTTATGAGGAGCGACTGAGGGAACTGGGCTTGTTTAGCCTGGAGAAGAGGAGGCTGAGAGGAGACCTGATCACTGCCTACAACTACCTGAAAGGAGGTGGTGGAGAAGTGGGTGTTGGTCTCTTCTCCCTAATGACAGATGATCGGACGAGGGGGAATGGACTCAAGCTGCGCCAGGGGAGGTTTGGATTGGATGTAAGGAAGAAGTTCTTCACTGAAAGGGTTATCACACACTGGAACAGGCTGCCCAGGGAGGTGGTGGAGTCACCATCCCTGGATGTGTTTAAGAGACGGGTGGATGAGGTGCTGAGAGATATGGTTTAGTGGCGGACAGATACGGTTGGACTGGATGATCTCTAAGGTCCTTTCCAACCCAGTGATTCTGATTCTATATATGCAAATGAGACTCTTGTAATCGAGCATATTTAGCCTATTTACCTTTGAAAAGGAAAATAAAAGGCTAATGACTATGAAGGGGAAAGAGGGTTGTTAGGTAGCGTGGTGTGGCACATCTGCACCCCAGGCACCCTGCCGGTGCACGTTTCAGCAAAATACTTGCTCTAGGGTCTGTTGTGCCCTGCACAGGCGTGCCATATTGCTGCTGGATTCATCAGCTGTCTCCTCCACCTAAGGTACTGAGGGAAGCATTGGTACACCTCCAGCAAGGAGAGCCACATTACCCGCATTCTCCGCATTCCTAAACCCACAGAGCTGGGTGTGGAAGTGTGCCGCCAGGTATGTGTTTCAGAGAGTTACTTCCACAGGGTCTGCTCTGAGTAACAAATGCTTGCAAGGGCCCAGTCCCTTTCCAACAGTCAGTTCAAACTCACTTCATAGCTGGTACCCCCGTATTGGAGATAGCTGTGAAACCTCTTGCTCTTCCAGTGGATGCTGGATTTGGCTTGCAGCAGCGTTAAAAAATGTGTTAAAAAGTAAATTGGCTCAGCCAAGTGTCAATGTCAGTGCTATGTTTGCTCATCGCCTCCATCAACAGGTCCAGTTCTGACCAGCCCAGGGCGTTGTGCTGCTTCACAGGCCTTTTACATGATCGTCTGGCACCCTATTGACAAGCAGGTGTTTGCAGAGTGTTTTGGGCTGCCTTTTCCTGAGAGGTTGAAATGATTCTTCAAATGCTTTTACTGCCAGAAACACCCTTTG